GAATCAAAATGGGTACATGTATTTCAGTTAAAGTTATTCAATGGTGTATGAAATGTTATATATTACATTTATTTGAAAGTCACAGGATGCCCAATGACACCGATGGACTAAAAGACCAGTGGCTGTGTAACCACACTGTAGAGAACACTTGTTGTGTTCTTCTATTTTTGTGTGTGTGTGTGTGTGTGTGTGTGTGAGGAATCAAATGTGACCGATTATTTAACATACATATATAGAAGCAGCACACAATGCTGGAAACTGCATGGCATGAACCCTGGATATTTCAACTTAGCTTTGCTTATTGCTTAATGCTTTGTTAATATTTATCAGCATACTGTTATGTTTTTGTTACTTTCCTTTTGAGCATTTTGAATTGTGCAAGCATCTTAAAGGAAATAATTCCTGGAGATAGCATGATTTAATTGATTTCCATTTCTCTTTAGGAATCAATTGGGCTACCTTAAATTATTAGTTACAAAAGAATTCACAAATTAGCTGTCTTACTACTACAACATGAGAACAAAATCAATTATGTATAATAACTATTTTACACCAAGGTTCAGAAATTCTGAGAGTATCTGAACAAGCTAGACAAATGATGATATACCACTGGTATATTTTCAAGGGATGGTCAGCATCATGGATGGCAGTCCTAAATGTCATGTTACATTCTATTATCATATTTTCTATACTAACTGGAATAATGCTGATTGCAATATGTTGTATGTGTTGTTGAATGAAACATATTTTAAATTGAAATTATGTGCCTTAATTGCTGTACAATATATAGCTTTGAAAAAATTATAGAGTGATCCATTCAAAACAAGATGTTTTGAAGGATCAAGGAAGGGAATGTTATACAAATAGACTATTTGCCTATTGCTTTTAATCTTATGGGGTTTTTTGAGTTTTGCATTGCCTTAAGAAACACCATTTTGTATTGCTCTGTAGCTTGACATAAGTGCTTGACCTTTGTACACTGTATGGGTGAGAGCGCGTCTGTGGAAAAGGAAAACATTAGCTGGTGACTGGCCAAAGAATGCAGACAAATAAAAGACCAAAACAAGAAAAATCCACCCCAGAACAGCGAGAGAACAACAACAATCAACCTTCAGGGAAGAACACAGAGATAACACAGCAAAAGCCCAGAAGACCGGGTGAATTGACAAGGCTGTAAAGGATGGAGTAAGACATATCGATTTTGGGTCTTGTTCTGCATGTCATCCTGGAGTATCGGTTCATCTGATGAGATGGACCGGCAGGAGCCCAGCTCCTACTCGTGATCAACTTGGCTGGCCACTAAGTTGATCCGAGCACTGATAAGACTGGTAACGTATACCAGCACAGAACAGAAACTGGGGTATGCATGATGTCATAAGGTCTCACTCGTGATTTTAGCAATTGCAATTTGTGTAACACTCTGCATGTGTGTGTGTGTGTGTGTGTGTGTGTGTGTGTGTGTGTGTGTGTCTGCACGCATCTGTGTGTCTGTGTACACGCATTGTTATGTATGTGTATGTCTGCGCATTTGTATGTGTCTGTTTCTGTGTGTCTGTGCACCTGTGTGCTTGTGCACACGCATGTGTGCGCACACATATCTGTTTATTGCAGGAAGAGTGTTTGTGTCTGTGCCCATGTGCAGAGAGTGAGTGAGAGTAGAGTGTGTGCCTTTCTGTGTGCATGCCTGTGTGTGCGTGCATGTTTGGCCATAGTGGGGGAGGGGAGCAGGGAGAAGAGGGGAGCACCCCCAGCCCAGCAGGGTCCACCAAGCCTCCCCTGCCAGCACTAGGTGGGGAAGGGCCCCCTCCCTCCCCTTGCAGCCCAGCTCCCTGGGGGGAGGGGCCTCCAATTTTGTGTTTGCCCAGAGCCCCAGTACACCTTAATCCACCTCTGTATGGGCTGACCCAGTAAATGGCAATTCTTATGTTCACATTTGGTGGGTGAAGCACCAGATATCTGGCAGAGTGCGCAGCTGCAGATCCCACTGCCCTGGAAAGGAAGCACAGCCATTTTTGCACACAAATACTTGGCCAAACTAACAAGCATCAAAGGTTGCGGGAATGGAGTGTGTGAGCTATGAGACAACCAGCAACCCCAGGAGCTTCTCGTGGTAGAGTTCAAGGGGATGCTGCCAAGCTCAAAAGCTCATTTCTAAATATGTGAGTGCAGTTGCAACACTGGGGAGATGCAAACGGATGGTGTCCTAGGGGTTGCCGTGATCCCCCCTAACGCCCCCTTACCATGCCAAGTTAGCCTAAAAAACACCCTCAGATTCTCCCCTACCACATCTTTGATGTTAGATATGTAATAGGGAAGCTGCCTTTCCGTCCTCTTGGACATGACTTTCTACTGTATGCTGGCCCTGTCCTATAAGGGGTGTTTTGGTGCACCCTAGCCTTATGGGCTGTGTGTGGCTCCAACCACCCCTTTACCATGCCCCAAGCCTCACTGATGGAATGGCATTCTTCGGTCTGGCGCTCATCAAGCGCTGTCCCTTCTCTGGGCCCGGGGTCCCCATGCTACTGCAAGTCCCCCACAAAGCCTCCACCATCCCCTTATAGCCTCACCCAAGCCACTGGTCAAAACAGCAAACAAAACACAAGCCCCTGGGCTATAGTATTATTCCAGCCACACCCAGCATACTCCATCCTTCCCCAATCTTGGGGCCATGCCTGCAGTCTGACCTCCTGATCCACTTGTTCTAAGAGAGCTCCTTCCCCCTTGGCTACTGGCAGGGAACTGCCTATCTAACCTCAGCCCTGGGATTTATATGGGAGTCCTGCCTCCTCCGGCCAGCTGACCAGGTGCAGGTGCAGCCAATACCCTCATTAACTGGTTGTCCTAGCAATCTGCACCTGGGTGTTTATCTCTGCTCTACAAGTAGCAGGCACCTTAGTGCCCTACTACAGGAGGTTAGCAGGGGATGTCCAGACTGTGGAATAAGCTCTCTCCAGAGGTGGTGCAGTTCTCTATCCTAGAAATCTTCAAGAGGAGACTAGATAGTCACCTCGCTGGGGTCACCTGACCCCCAGTTGTCTTTCCTGCTTAGTGCAGGGGGCTGGACCCAAAGATCTTCTGAGGTCCCTTCTGGCCTTACAATCTATGGATGCAGGGCAGAAGTGAGAAGTCCTGGCAGAGATGGGTTGGGACCTCACAGAAAATGGCCCACTTAGGCTCGGGAGCAGTGGTTCTCAATCTTTCTAGACTCAAGGAAGCCCTTGGAAAATGCCAGCTCTTAGTTCTCCCTCATTTTTTGACTACAGAAAGATACTGGAACAAGTGTTCTTCTGTTGCAAAGAATTTGGAAAGCCCACAACAGAAAGCTTGCAAAGAACAATTTTTCCAACTATTTAGTTGGTCTAACAAAACCTATCACATTTACCCAAAGAACCTTGCCTGCCTATGATCTTAGACCAGTGTTCTCCAAGCTTTTTAAGATGAAGACAATTTTTGCAGTAAAGGGCAATTAAGGCTCTACTGTACCCCCCCACTCCCGCCCAGCAGGTCAGTCGGGGACAGGGGGGCAGATCAAGGACCCCATGGTGAGGGAGGGAGTGGGACAGGTTGGGTGAATGGGGCCTCTGCCAGGCCAGGCTGGGGGAGGGGAGGGTCAGAGCCTGGGCAGCTTCTTCAGGCGCATGGGCAGAGGCCTGGGGGGCACATGCCCCCCTGATCTGTGCATGGTGCAAAGTGGCTGCTCCTGCATACTGGGCTTTGCGCCCCAAGCCCTGCGCTGCAGCAGGGCTTGGGGTGCAAAGCCCAGCACACAGCAGCAGCCCCCTCACCCTGCACACAGCTTGGGGGGGGCACGTGTCCCCTGGGACTCCACCAGGGTGCATGCAGAGGTGGGAGCCCTCCCAGCCCAGGCTCCAATCCTTCCCCGGCCCAGCCTGGCCAGAGCCCCACTCACCCAGTGGCAGGGGGCACGAAAGGGGATCATCCCACTCACCAGGCCCAGCCATGTGCATCCTGCTTCTCATATATCCCACCACTCCCAGACTGCATCCCAGCCGCTCCCCATGTACGTCCTGCAGCATCCCCACCCCAACCGAGATCGACTGTCAGAGGGTCCGCGATCAGGACTGAGATCAATTGCTAGGGGCTCCCCAGTTGACCACTGCCTTGGACCAACACCCCACTCCAGCTCAGGGTGTTTTAAGCACTATGATTCGCTGCTTGAAATCTCTGGGATTACTTTGTGAATCACGGCTGCACGCCTATGAGCGCTAACATGTGTCAAGCCGCACGAACGTCACATGCCCCTGGCGGCTGAGGGGCACGGCTGCGCCAGCGTGCCCAGCGTCCTCTGGAGCCTCCTTTCCTGGGGCGCCCCGCCCCCAGCGGCGCTCTCCGCAGACCCCGGACAGGTGGTTCAGCCCTCGGGGGAGGTCCCCCGTGTTGCGGGAAGATGGTTCGGGCCGGCCCGGCGCAGCCG